TACCAAACTTTTCCGAAAGCCTTAGGTCATGGTGATTAGCGGAAAAACTGCTCTCTGATTTTGTCAGAATGTGTAGGGAACAATTGGGCATGCCCCCCAAAGCCTTGTTTTGCACATACTAGCAGAAATCTCGAGGGAACTGTCGCTGGACCCGTATCGACTCGGTCCGGTAGTACGGTTTCGATCGCTTCGTTTGAATGTTGATTCCCTCTTTAAGATCGGATGCTTACTTGTTTCTGCCTTTGGTCGCAGTGAAAAATCTGTTCATGAGCATGTGTGGTTTACACTCATGGTTGTTGGTAATGTGATCCTTTGTCCAATTCAGCGTTTCGCCGCGTTGGCTGAATTAAACTCGAAACTGATATCCCTATAGGCTTCAAACGAAGATGGGATTGATATCTGTTTCGCGATTAACGATATTCTTCAGCTTTGGATATTCGTTGACTTATGGGGTAAACTCTTAGCAGTCCTCTTTTCCCCTCCTAAGCATCTTGCTGTTTTTGAACGGTATCCAGATGGATTCGCGATAAGTACCGGAGGAAACCATTTTTGTGCTAGTCACTTTGGCCGCCATCCATCTTCTTCAGTGACTGAGGAATTATTTGTTGAACCCAAAGTTGGCGTAGTATTCAGACAAATGGCAGTTTGAGGAAGCCACTGTTGCGTCATTCCAACTGGAAATGTCGATAAGGTGTTCCTGAGGCTACCGTGATATCCCTTTTCGCACTCTGGAAGTCATTCGTAATACACCTTCTATCGAACCAATGCTAAATGCTGACTTATACTGTCACGTGACTTCATTATTAACACCTCATGTCGTATTGATCGGTCGTCCAGCTCGTCATTTTAAACCGGTGGGGGATTTTTGACTGGACGTGGATTTTACACCGAAATAAACATGGTACGTTCTTTGGTGACATTAGGACTTCATCTACGGAATTCTGCTGCTTTGAGAATTTGATTATTCAGTAAGCGGGTCGAAACATTAAACCAATTAGTGCAATGGCATATAAAAGTCTGCTGATCAAGCCATATGTTGAAGCCTAAATCACGAGCGGTGCTTTGCGCGAAAGTGGGCAAATTTGGATCTACACCGTGGACTAGTTTCAGCTACATAGATGGCGAGCATAGTTTAACGCATCCTCAGGGGTATCAGCCTATCTTATGCCTGCTCTTATACCATCAAAACCAAGCTTGATACTGCTTCCGCGATGGTAACAGGTTAGTAGGGCCCTTTTTTGTTTTCGATAAAACTGCGAAATTGCTATTTTGAGTGGAAATTTTCTGAAGAGTGATCAAAACTACAAGTGACTAGGTTGCATCATAGCACCCTTTCTGTGCGTTTTCTTTACTTTGAAGCCTCTTCAAATCTCTCTGCTTCCAACGGTTTTCAATGGGTTTTTTTAGAACTCGATGGATCGGTTGTGCTAACTGTACCGGCGGAATGGTGTAGTAGCAATAATTCGCTCACTGGTCTTTGTCCTTTTGTACGTCATGACTTTTCCGCTATTTTTCTCGTGGGTGTCGTGCAACAAATCGTCTACAATCAAACGGAACACTTAGAAAAATTAAAAAGACCGAATTTCACTACCGTTGTCTATCAGTGCGTTCCATCTGCACGAAGCTGTAACAGCATCAAAGTTGTCCCATATCTGGGTCATACTTTCATCAAGTCGACCCGAGTACTTTTGGAAGGAAATCTATCCGAATTAGTCCCATCCCCGATAGAAGTGATCCTACTCGGTTTGTTGTGCTATCTGTGACTAATTCGGTGCAACTGGCGGTGCGGTGGACGGTACTTTAGATACGGCAGTACGTCATCAACGCATTTGAGGATTTACCTAGTGCCATGGAAAGTCTGTTCTTCGGTTAGCGGATGTGACACCCGGCTTCGAGCTCATTCAAATACCAAAAAACCATTTTGATGGTTGTATGTACCTGGCTACCATATTCATCACCAGACTCAGGAACATCCCTGTTGAAATTGAAGCTTCACTACGTACAACCACAAAGTTTTCTTCGTTCTATCTAAAGAGCTCGAGATGACTCAGTGGTTAGAGCGCGAACTTACTAATCAGAAGATCCGTGGTTCGAACGGAACCTCCTGTCTAGGCTTGGACAACCTGACAGTATCTCAGCCCTTGTTCTTACTTCGCTTAGCATGGCAGCTAAGCACCGAAGGAGTACTACAGCTACAATATTACTATTATTCTACTTAAAGCCTAACAGCAGAGAAAAGGTTGTAATAGGAAGGGACTTGATGCTAGCATATCGTAAGCGTTCTGAGGTGCCTATACCTCCAGATGATTAATCAGCCAATCTGAGAAGAAAGTGAGAGCACGAACTGGCACTACGTTTTCAACGAACAGTGACTTTCTGGTAAGGTCGGGTAAGACTGAAAGAGTGGCCGTCTTTATGTCGTCCACGATGTTAGGCATAGACAACTATTCAGAAAATCTCGATTAAGAGCACTCCATAAATCGATATACAAGGCTATCGGCGGTTCCATGGATCTTTTGTGGTAAGCGACCGTATATGCACTGAATCGGTCATGCATTCAGACAAACTCCAATTACAGAGACTGCTACCGCATCATTCCGCCCGTATCACCAGAAAGTGTGCTCTTACCGATTTACTCAGTTGTTTACTGTACAACCGCTGCGGGTCACAAATGAACCGGTTTTACTGATATTGTGCTCTGAAGCGGTCAATGTGTATATCAACCACGTACGATGTCAGCTTGGTTGACAGCCTTGATTGTGTTTCGTCACGTTGCTGTCCCGTTTACCCAGTTGACACCGCCAATCAGAGCATAGAAGTGCTGTGGGCACGTGGTTTGTTATTTCAGTCGATGACTTTCTCGAGCCATATCCGAATCACCGGATTTGACCATTTTTGAACTCCAACTCAGCATGTCCATGCCGCAGAATTCATAGTTCACCCATTCACCTGCTTGCTGTGGTCACAGGAAAACGTGAACACTTACCACAAGCTAATTTCATCTCCCCACTGTAATGTGTTTTGTCCAATCATAAGGCAGTTTTTCCTACGCGGGCGATACGTACGCCAGTCTCTTCTACGGCCTGATGGTTAGAAGCATAGTTGGACCAAGTTAGCTAACACTAAAACTCCGTAAAAAGTATACCGATTATTCCCATCTGGTCCATTTGACTTGACTATGCATATCTCCTGAACGTGGCAGGGTACCAAGGATAAACTAAACGGATTCTTAAAATATGTAGAGACTAAATGAATTACGTATAAATCCTCAGACAACTGAATAGTGTTGGAGATCGAACCCGGTCACCTAAATAAAATGAGGCTCCTAGGGTGTGGGAGGAACTCCACCCGGATCCCACGCAAGGCTGGCCGAAAATTCGAGACGCTTGCCGGTCCGGCATCAAGCCGAGATCTGATTGGTTGAAAGTCTGGACCCAACAGCCAATCATGACCCAGTATTGGCCGAATGCCAGTTGGCAATGGCGCACTCAGAACGCATCAGAATTCCTAGAAAGTAATTGCCGCCTACGCCATATATATGAAGCGCTGTCCAACTGTTCCTGACTTCGTTTTGGGCATTAATAGACCTTGTGCACCTTTGGTGGTTGTTTTGACGTGAACGTTAGCTTGGGAGGCTCAGACCGAGAACTAAGCTGAGAAAAATAGCGTCACTACAATCTTCGGTAGAAAGTTGATGAAAACTACAAGAGTCCAAAAATATGCAGATTAACTTTAGCTTCCGCTACAATCTTGTGATAAGATCAGTTGCAAAGTACGAACTGTACACACTGTTCATGTCAGGCAACACACATGGTTGGTACTGGAACCGTCTACCAGAGGGAATCAATGAATATCATCTCCACAGTCTTATCTAGGGTCAGAAAACGCTGAGTTCCAGAGATTTAAAGTTCTCTATCGCGTATAGATCAGGGTCCCCTTGGAACATATTCGGTGTTTTGTCGTCACTTTCCCCCACCACAACGCCCGAGTCCATTTTGTGGGCACAAGGCCTGCATGTAGGGTCACTAAACCAGCTTTGGCCGGAAATCAACAAGCACCACAATGTGAACAAACTTCTGCATTAACGTCTTGTCAGGACGCGCTTAGACATGGAAAAAGTACATGTGCAGAGAGTGACGCATCCCCAAGGTCCCCATCGGCACGACACGTCCGGAAAGCAGGTGCGTTGGCGGCTCACACCAAACACGGCTTAGCAACATACGACCAGCGGAGTGGGGCTGAAATTGTTCAAAATCGGAACACCGCCACTGGCTGTACAGAACGAACAAGTGAACGACCGTATTTGGCCGTTTAGTCATCCCACATATTTACGCAGAAGCTCTGTATGTTTTGTCCTGACAATACAGCCGTGTCCCGAGTTCTCTGTCTTCTCCTTATCGCGTAGTCTGGCAGGCTCAGTACACGCGTAACCAATAGACGGCCACCCACGTTACAACACGTCCCCCTACTAGTTTAGCCAACTTCGCATGTATTGCTAGCCGCATGCTGCTAGCTGACGACCGGCCGTACAAACCAAAAACCCAGTTCGTTGTCGTGTTAACGATACCAACAGCTTCATACAGGGTAAAAATAAGTTCCAGTGTTTGTAATTTATGGCATAAAACTTGGGAATGGTAATACCACTGTAAACCACCGGAACGAGGGGCACTCAAAACTGTGAACCCCGTGCGAACAGGTAGAACATAGAGACATTATATTGAAAAAGGTTATCAAAGATTTTCAAGGCAGTACAGGAGCGTTCCACTACTGATAAAAGAGACTGTCCCCCACATATCATGAAACACAATGTGCCGAGACGTGCGAACTAACAAGGAGGCAGCTCTATCCATATTTTCCGGTCACCTGAACCGCATTCGATTAAATGGAATGGATTGGTTCAGCCGCAGATGGACCCAGCTGCCGTGCTCCTGAAAGAAGCAAGAGGGTTGATATACTGCCCGGTTGTCCAAGCCTAGACAGAAGCGGCCGAGATACAGAGGTTGGATTCGAACCACGGATCTTCCGATCAATAAGCTCAACCAATGAGCCATCTCGAGTTCTGAGTGAACCTCACAGGTATGGAACAATACGTATGACTACATAGCTACACATAGAGTTCACTTTGATGGTCGGACGGATTGAACTATCAGGGCTCCTACCAAATCTTTACATAATTTGGGATTCACCTCATCAGACTGGCACTGTCCTTGGCATGATTTCGAATGAAACGTTTCTCTCTTTTCTCCCATATTCTCCTGTTCCTCTTTCGCATTCATAGCTTGCATTCACTTTTTATGTTTGTGACCAGGCTCTTCAAAAATAAAATAAAATAAATGATAATAGTCAGTTATGCTGCAACTGTTGTGCAGATTGAGGGTACAGATATTCTTTCGACCAGGAGTGTAATGAGTGTGTGGGTGGCAAAAAAAGACAGATTTCACATTATATCAAGCAGTGAACTGTGGTCCCGAAGACGTCTAGGTCGTAAAGTGAAGAAACCTCGTTTAACCTTGCATGACAAAAGGGCAGCTAAGCAGAAACCAGTCATTCACTAGAATCTCAGACTGTCCTTAAAACTTGGATTTCTCGAAGGTCAAAAAAGCCGGAACTTACCCAAACTTCTGACAGGTTTCCAACACCTTCTGATGTGCACCAAGACTCATGTAGTGTTTAAGAAGGGGGTCATATCTGGAAAACGATGTGGAGACAAATTGATCGATCAATATGGGTTCATGGTACACTTATGTCTACAGAGAATAGGCGAAAGCCCAAAGTGAGTGAAGTTATTCCGGAAACTATTACTGTCTAATAAAGTAACCCTTGAAAAATTAGACGCTCTAGTCATATATTGACTGGAGAGCACAAGTTATTCCATAATGACGTAATACAGTCCTCGTAATGAAGGGCTAGCCAAGAGTGGGACACGGAAGCCGAACGATGTCCACAAAGATGGGTTGAGAACAATCAGTTGTGAGGAGGTATCCTTTTCGATGTGCCTTAGAGCCTGACGACTAGTTAGCGAGAGGATTTCTTTCGCTAAAACACCCAAACTTATTTCGATTCCCTCGTTCAGCACTAAATTTTCTAGTCCAAGGTAGCCTTCTTCACGAAGAAAACAGTTCCATCATGGGCATGAAGTTTAATCCACTGTAATCCTACTTGAGGAAACAAATGCACAAAATCAGAGAGGAAAGATTCTGGTTCAGGAAACACTACAGTGGAACTACTCTGTGCCACTGAACCAGAGTTTTGAGTTAGCTATAACCCAGCACAGGAGAAAGAATAACTCACACGATGAGTGAATGTTTCATCTGAGAACTCGTCACTCAAATAGTCAGTCAACACGTGATCATGCGAAGCAAACTCTGTGAAGTAAGAATGAGTGGCAGCATATCTCGCCAAAGTTGATCAACCTCTCGTAGCCGAACGATTGTTTTCCAATGCCCTTTGATATTCGTGAGATGTGTACTCGATAAGGAAGAAACAGTGCTTCTCTGCTTCTGAATTAGAGTGATTTCACTTGCTGGACGAAATCGCGATTGAACACACGAAATTCTCCGTAAACGAACAGATGTCACATCCACAGGGTTGCCGAGGCGCGTTATAACACGGACTGAGCTCGCTAGATATAACACAAACCTAGCTATTTAGACCTAGAAATTCCTTACTTCTAATCAAAGAATTCCCTGGTCATAGCCAGAGCGTCAGTTGGAGCATATATAGTTTATATATATATATATATATATATATATAATTGTATTTAAAGCCCTACAGTGAAGAGAAGAGAAAAAGAGTTGGTGCGTGTAGCAAAGTAACCAATGCAAAATCACAAAATCACAATAGGAAAGGAATGAGTAGTCAAATGGGGACTCACGAATGTGTAGATCCAATAGTCCACTACACCGATCCAAATGCAGTAACTGGCTGTGAAAGGAAATATTCACTTGTCGGAATTTCCCACAGAGGCACTTTGAATCAAAAGCATTAACCGTAGGAGTTTCTGCAACAGGCTGCGTGAGTGTCAGTTCACCTTATTTCACTGATCGCATTGATGCTCCACGAATAGCGGTTTCGTCCAAGGAAAACATGTGAACGTGTAAACAAGAGCAAAACCGAATTCGTTTGTAACTACTCGTTAAATTTTTCTTCTGTCCGCTCCTAAGAAGTAGCACTAAGGCGTCCCCAAGAACGATATAAATATTCCACGATGAAGGCTAGATAAGTCCTTCGCTCAACGCGAGGGAGATGGTAAGCGAAGCTTCAGAGGTACACAGGAGTCTGCGAATATACACTCCTTTGCAAACTAATTTGGTTTTTTTGGAGGCTTGCCGTGAACCCAGCTGAATCACCCGTTTGTAATGTTCTCAGGCAACTGGATGTGCTGCACCAGGCCGCCTCGTGTTTCAGCCGCTACGATATTCGAGATATCGCGATACATGCATATCTTTGTAATGTACTACTCATAAGGTTGCTGAAAACTCCTCGACAGCCCACGACCGGTTTCGCCCTTCCACTTCGGGCTCATCAGGCAGGCGCAGTCCCCGATTTACCGTCAACCTTATGTTCCACTTGGGACAAATTGCACGAAAATAGCGTATATACACTCATTTGCAAACTAATTTGGTTTTTCGAGAGACTCACGTTGAACCCAGCTGAATCTCTCTTTGTGATGTTCTCAGGCAATGCAAATGAGTGTATATTCGCTAATTTCGTGGAATTTGGTTTCAAGGTTGACGGAAACCCTGACACTGCACCTACCTGATGAGCCTCAAAAAAGGCAAAACCGGTCGTGGGCTGTCGACGGATTTTCAGCAACCTTATGAGTAGTACATTACAAAGATATACATGTGTCTGTCATAGAACGTAACTTAGCACATCGGATATTTCTATATAGTCACACTTTGGTTGGCCTGACAGAGATCCTACTTTAGAATTTCACGTTGCTCCCATGTCGCTATTCCCTTCGTATAACAAGGTTTTGCAAAATACTTGTGTTACTAGACTGTCATGTCACACGTTGGGATTTCCTAAGGTTGTGTTTGACTAGGTGGATGGCTGTCAACTAAACCATTCGCATTTGTTGCACTCTAAGTCAGATTGACAACCGTTTTATCCAACACAACATGGCGCTTCATTCTTTGAGTGGACTAATCCAGCTCATTAGGTGCGACCTATGATAGATTTCGGCTCACTCAGAATTTCGCTCATCAAATTAGGATCCTTTTTGATTGTCTGATATACCAGTTCACCTGCAGCAAGAATCCTTTGATGCTTTGTAGTAAATTTTGATGTCATCTCATGAGAGTTTCAGTCTCTGTATAGGCCATCTCGTTATATCGAATGAAAGCATGGTCCGTAGTTGTTTTCAATCAATTGGCAAAAGTTTAGAACCGATTGAGAAGTCATCGTTTCAGAAGAGCTTGGTAAACAATCGGTAGTTTTTATTTGGGCAACGTTTCGCTTTCGGCACAGAAGCTTCACCAGGCCAACTGAACCGGTCGCCAAATTTACCAGGTTATAAGACAGACGGAGAACCAATCGGTAAGTCCTCTTCAGATTGTCACACTAGATCAGTGTTGAGTGTTCATTGACGGCTTTTGTCGGTTAATGTGGTTGCCAGAATCTTGCGTTGGTAGTTGGAGAGCCTCAGAATAATTCTGGTCGTGTTTGGTTTCTCAGTCCTCCACTTCAGGGTGCTTCAATCGATAATTCACCTCGGGTGCCACTGGTAGACTTTCCTTGATCTTTGTGAGGTTGTGAGTGCTCGGACGGGGGGGTGGGGTGGTGAAGCCAAGTGGAATTCAGATGATGACTACTCTTCCTTCTGATTCCTGAACACCAGCACCTGTCAGCTCGACTGATCCAAAACCGTTCTCCACACGGTTGCCAGTTCCACGCCTTCTATTCTGTTAACACTGTTGAGCTTGGCGATATCCTTGGATATCCGACTAGTTTGATTAGGCGTCACTTACGAAGGGTGCTGGTACCGGGGGTGGAACCCAAAAGAGAATGGCTTGGGGCGACCGTTATTCCATATGAATCAGGGACATCGGAGATCAGTCAAAGGATTCTAAACATGGTCAACATAAGAGTAGCTTTCCAGAGGGGAAACACTCTGCGTTCTGCAGTGGTGCAATTAAAGGATCGCCTTGTGACAAAGAGAACTATAAATTCCGTCTAAATATTAGTGCAATGACCGCACCAAGGTCTATAAAGGATAGAGGGCCAGAGAACTTCACACCAGAATCGAACAGCATAGGAGAGAAACAAACAGGCCGCTAAGAAACGCAGTTGAATGACGAGCGTTACCGAAAGACTCAGCAATTGCGGAACATGTACTGGACACGGGACACAAAATAGATTTAGATAGTGTTGAGCCTTTGAGGCGAGGACTACGACTCACATCATAGAGAGTGATGGCCGACGCGGTAGGAATTGCCAAGCATTCTAGTGCTAGCAGAATAGAAGACGTGTAACTGGCAGCCGTGTGGAGAACGACATTGGATCAGTCTGTCAGTTGGTGTTTGGAAATCAGAAGGAGAAGTAGTCATCATCCGAAATGCACTTGACCTCACCCAGCCCAACCAACTTGTCTCAAACTCACAAACCGACAAAGACCAGGGAAATCTATCCAGGGGCATTCACGTTGAATCATCACTCAAAGCACCTTGAAGTGGAAGGGGTAGGAATCAAATCGGATCAGAACTAAATCGAAACTCCCCCAACGCAAGGTTTTGGCGACCACACAAACTAACAAGAACCGGTAAATGACGCTCAACACTGATCTCGTGCGCTAATATGAAGAGGTCTTACTGATTGGTTCTGTCTACCTTAAAGCCTTGCCAACTTGGTGACCTGTTCACTTAGCCTGATGAAGCTTTTGTGTTGAAAGCGAAACGCTGCCCAAATAGAAAAAACTGCCGGGTGTTTACCAATCCCTTCAGAAACGAATAAAACAATCTGTTAGTGTCATACCATCCCCGCGAATAGCTTGTACCATTATATTGGATGAGTTACTTTCTTGAAAACTTTCTTAGCAGTTTTTCCCTCGATTAGGTGGCCATTTTAAGAAGTCGAACGGTAGGTTATCACTTATGTTAACTCTTTTCTGAATTAGTACCTTCTTTTCGAAAACGTTTAGTGACAATCGGTAGATTTATTGCTGGGCAACGTTTCGCTTTTGACACAAAAGCTTCGTCCGGCCAAGTGACTAGGTTCCGAGGTTGATCGAGATTTAAGGCGGAAGGAGAACCAATCAGCTAAGTCAAGCTAAATCTCTGTTGAGTATCGGCCGAGGGATTTTAGTGTGTTAGAGTGGTTGAACAAGTGTTGGGTCGGTGGGAACCTACGTGTATGGGGCCAGCGTTCTTCTGGTTCGGTTCATTTGATGGTTCCTCTTGAACTTCGTTTGAACCTTCTGTCAGTCTGTGTGGGTGAGCTAGTGCTAAGAAAGTTGTGTAAGAGGGATGCTGTGACCTTTGGTCAGTTGGGGTTTCCACTCCCATCCCCCGGTTTTTTCTAATTATCCTAGGTGGATTGACAACAACACCGTTACGTGTCAACTCGGCTTATGTAAGACCGATTTCCATACACTCGTTAGCTCCACACCCTCGATTCTATTCACGCTGTGACGCTTAGTGATTTCCACCGCCTCGGTTACCAGCCGCTGTGGTGTGAATCGCAGTCCCCATCTTAAGACTTCCACATTCTCCAGATCTATTCTATGTCCCGTGTCTAAGGCATGTGCCGCCATCGCTGAGTCTTTGACCAGCGTTTGGTATTCTTATGCATTCCTAGGTTGTTTGTTAATCCTTTTTTTATGCTCACCAATTCTGGTGTGCAATTCCCTGGCAGTTTGTCCTATATAAACCTTAGCACAATCGTTGCAGTTAAATGAACCGAACCAGAAGTACTAGACCCTAGGCAGGACCCGAACACATGTAGGTTTCCCCACCGACCCAACACTTGTTCAACCACTCTAACACACTAAAATCCCTCGGCCGATACCCAACAGAGATTTAGCTTGACTTAGCTGATTGGTTCTCCTTCCGCCTTAAATCTCGATTGGTATTTTCTTTCTCCTCAAAGGATTGCTAGTCACAATGTCGCTGAAAACGCTTCCAGTCTTGTCCGTTAAAAACAAAATGATGTACAAACGAGTATATCTGGTGTAATATTTCTTTGTTCTGTTTCTAGTGGACTCAACTTATTCACTTGGATGAGCGCGCCGGTGTTTGCCGTACATCGGAAATGGGTGTGGCGCTACAGCAGTGGAGCACCAGTGTTCTTCGCTAGTGTTTTTGATAATGGTGATGATGATAGTCATGAAAATTAGGGTCCACTTTTGTATACAGAGAGATATGGAACTTGTGCTCAGCGAGCATTTCACGCTTCCGTGGTTCATACCATCTACCATTGTGACCGACGTGTCAGTTTTGCTAATCGGTTTTGCTTTCATGCAGTGGTACCCAAATCTGTGAAGAACTCTACGATGAGAAAGCCGAACAATAAGAATAAGAGAATAAGGTCCTACAATTATGTGTAGATAATACTGATCTGAAGAAGTTCTGGGAGAATTTAACGGTAGGCAACGTGGCATGATATTGGCCAAATACCGACAAATACCGAATGCAGCCAAACAAACAACTGCCTTTTTGTAAAGAGGCTCAGTCAGACAATGCCCAAACAAACTGAGTTTTCATCTTACCAACTCTTGAGCTTGCTCCTCATGCGATTGGCTAATCCCACCATAACAGTCAATAAAATACTATAAACGTTCAGCTGTAGCACCCTTTCGGTGCCTAGCTGTTATGCCATCCGAAAGGAAGCACAGGGCTGGAATAGTGCCAGGTTGCCGAAGCCTAGACAGAGAAACTCGATATACAAAGGTCGGGTTCAAACCAGGAACCTTCCGGTCAGTGAATTCGCGCCGTCGACACTGAAACGTGTGCAACAGTGAACACATGGACAAGAACTTTAAACCGGAATATGCAATACAAACAATAACTGTGGTACACAAGAATAGGTAGACCATCATTTATATCTGAACTGTGAATCCACTTACTACCCGTACTTAGATTTATTAACCTTGGGTCAACTCGTACTACCTCAGCTTGCACATCCATCTCGGATGAAAAGTAATGAGACCCTTTTGGTTTTGACAGGAGAGTGACGTGAAACCCAGCTTAATCTCTCGTGTATGGTAAAGAAGAACAGCATAAACGAGAGATTCACTCTCTCGTCAAAACCAAATGAGTATGCAAATGAGTTTATTTCACCGAGTTTGTGCAACTTAAATTCAAGTAGAACGTAAGATTGAAGAAAACTCGGGAACTGGCCTACCTGATAAACTCCAAGAAGGTCATAATCGTTGGTGGGCTTCCGAAAAGTTTTCAGGAACCTTATGAGTAGTGTATTACGTCTATACCTGAAACCCTCTATTTGTTTCAGCGGGAAGTTCTATCCATCCATGTGGGACAAGCAGGAGTGCAAATGGGAAACGCTATCTGGGAACTTTACTGCGCAGAACACGCAATCGGACTCGATGGTCAGCCGACTCAAGCACCTTTGGAGCAGGAATGTCAGTCTACATTCTTTCAACAATCCCCAAAAGGCCAACATGTCCCACGTGCCCTGTTTATCGACTTGGAGCCATCGGTTGTAGGTTAGTTTCGCGAAACAACAGCTTTGTTTTCTCTGGTTAGTACTGGTGATTTCCTTTTGACAGGTTTGTTGGAAAGTCAGACGACAGGCGACCTCTAACGTTTTCGTTAAGCTGAATAACCGGAATACTTATCACATGTTTATGAAGCTGCGAACGCGTCGTACCTTAAAATTTCGGATTACTCCTTTCTGGGCGTCTGTGCTGGACAATCGAACCTTATCAGTGCTTTATCAGTCCATTATATCTCGTATCCGAGATGTTGGCCTCTTTC